TAATAGTATTTATATTGCACTAAATTGTAAGTTTGAGCGTGAATATATTATATTATACATATGGAATAGACAAACAAAAGGAAATGTTGAGAAAAATGGCAATACTCTTCTATCTAACAAGTGCTAACATTGATGCCTTTGAGATTTGCACAGATGAGTCTGAGAATACTTGATAACGTAGCAGCAATGTCTGCAAAGTGAACATTTGAAGGGCCAATGAGAAAATAGTCGATCACATGACATAATAACAATTAGGTGGAAATGAGAAGCTCTCCTAGTTCTTGTCTCCTCCTTGATACAAAAACATCAATTCATGAAACTTGACAAAACGTTACAAACCTCGTGCATGTTCAGCTTTCCCTCAAGTGTTGAAAGCAACTCAAAAATTTTCAGCTTCCCATAATGTTACGAGGGCGAACCTTTCAAATACTGAATATACGAACACATGATGTGAGTCAGTCACCAAACTATAACAAGAAAATTGCAATGAATAATTGTTAAGGAATGTTTTTCAATGGGAAGACATTAATATTCAGAGCAACACCTATCATAACGAAAGAAAATAGACTATTTCAAAAGGTTTATTTCCCCTTATTGTTGATTACTAGATACTACCAAGATTATTGCAGTTAGGCTGAAAATGTAACACCATTTTTGAATAATCAGATTTGTAAAGTTTATATACATAGATACACACAACCAAATTAATCAATTTGTCTTGGCTCCGCTAAATATCAAATTTGTACAAAAATTGAACTAATTCTCACAAACGTTATTACCAAATATTAAAAGCTCAAGTATTGTTCTACTAAAAGAAGAATCATGCCATTTTCACTATACTTTTTATCTACTTACCCATCAGTTAACATTCTCCATCGTCTGCTAGTGATATTTAACTAGCCGAAGATTCTATGATATAATAAACTCATCTTGAATTCATAACCTCTTGAAATAGGTGTATGTTAAATGTATATATATATACACACCGTCACATTAAACATTTTTTTAAAAAATTCAATAGTCTTCCTCAGATCTAAACTAAAGAATGATATTTTACACTGTGAGTGGTCATTCAAGTCAGCAAGATGGAAGTGGAACTTCCAATTTCATCCTATTCACGAGCTTTTCCTCTCCCTATTTTCAAATATCTTATTATTTGATTTCTAACAGCACTAAATATGGGACTACATGTCAAGAAAAACAGTAAACAAAATTACTGCTATATAAAAATAATAAATAAAGCATACATTCAATGCACATACTCGAAAGCAAGTGGACATTCTTGCTTCACATGAAGTCCTGCGCAGTTTAATTTCATCAACACCAAGCAAAATGAACCGACTGTTGTGCTCGAATAGTAAATACGAATTACAACGTTATTAAGCTAATAAAATATCATGATCTTTGTTTCATAAAAAAATAATAATAATAAAATAACGATCTACTTGGAAGGCAATGGCTTTTGTTTTTATGCGTGTGTTTCCATCTATATGTATATCTTTTTAATAGTTGAAAGCTCGTGTTTCTAAAATTTGAATCAAAGTAACATACGGTCTTAGCAAAAATGTAATCTAGATTAAGCATCCCAAAATCTAAACTCAACTTCACAAACTTATGTTGTACAGACAACATTTGTAAGCATGACAGATTTTTTTTATTATGAGAAATCGAACTCCCGTCAAGAAAAATAGAAGAATATACAAGGGCTTGTAAGATCTTATTATATTATTTTGTCAATTTAGACTCCCAAACGTTTCTCAACATATCCAAAAACCGATACTTATTTAGTCTTAGTTTGAACATAATTATTGGCATTCGAGATAATGACTAATCACAGGAAAATTCTAAGACGGAAGGATACATTATGATAGAAATAGAATCACGCTAATAAACTCAACTAAAAAATAAATGGCCAATAACAAACCTAAGTAAGTTAACAGAAGAAATAGGAAAACTTAAGAAATTAATACCCAACCACGCACAAGCCAGTTCCAAGATGTCTTTGAGAGAGTGCTTACCCATGCATCAGTACTCCATATACACTGGTAAACCTATAAATTTACTTCCAATCATAGAATGAGTGGGTTTGATGTCTGCAGCACAAAAATTTCAAAAATATTACATATAGGGTGAAATGAATTAAAGAAGATCCAGTAGTAATCTTGGAAATAAATTACACTTATCTTCCTCTGTTTTTTTCAACAAAATTCATTCGTACAATAAAAACTGACGGTCGGTACCTGAATGGAAGGCGACTCTTCGGTGTAGGATTTCTCGACGGCAACACGGGCAAATTGGGCGTTGAAGTTAGTGCAGACCTTGCCGTCGACAATCACAGAGACAGTCACTTAAATATCTCACTAAGCGAAAGCATTCGAGACCAAATACGAACGAATTGTACAGCGGTTTCAAGTGGTACGCAATCCTAGGCTTCCATGTTAACGATCATCCTGAAGTTGGAAAACATAGCCCCTGTTAACACCATCAAAGAAAGTCTAAGCAGTAGCCAAAATTTCCAAGCATGCTAAAGAACTCGTAAACCCTAACCCTAGCGCTAACGCTGTTGTGAGTTCCCCAATAGATGGATGGATGGACTCGCCAGAATCGCGCCATGGAATTGGCAGGAGAAGATGAGAGGAGAATCTGTCGTTCGATTTTTTCGTCGCGGTGGCCTTCGAGTCTGGACTGAGAAGAAGAAGACGCACAGAACCCTTATATAGGATGGAGATTCCGTGTCATCTGCGTGTAATTTACGCGTTTGGTTCATTTACTTTTCCTTAAGCTGTTGACCCGGTCAACCCCGTGTGCGGTACGCGTTTCTTTTTCTGTTTTTTTTTTACCGCCAAAATATTATGTCCGTTGTTTAATGAATTTTCAACTCCTTTTTTTTTCCTTTTCTCCAAAAAAAAAAAATCTCTTTTTTACAGAAACAACTGCCTAACTAACTGGACACTAGTTATGTTGTCTTTGGTTGACATGATTGTAATTAAAGTTATAATTATCAGTCCTTGAAAGAAGAATGCATTACTTATTAGATCAAATCGCGTTACTTATTAGATCATATTGAAATACAATCACATCAATAAACATAAAAAAATATGCTTGAAATATTTTTAATTATCATCCAAAGTCGAAATTGTAGTGGTATTCATCATATCTAAAACAAAGAAGCACTTGTCTCCCAAAATTGGAAGAGGAAGTTTCTCTTGCATATTCTCAATCTAAAGAGAGGAATATGTTCCTCACCAGATATAAACGAAGTATTAGTGTTCTTCGATAGATCTAAATAAGGAGTCGGTGTTCTTTGTTGGATTTGGACGCTGAATAAAAATGAGAGGAATGGCAGGCAAGAAACATTGAGGAGGCAACGAGCATCAGCAATGAAATTAGGATGAAGGAAAGAGGAAGGAAGAATAGAGAAGGAGATAGAAAGTTCGATGACCATAAAAATATTATTAAATTAATCTATATTGATAAATCAACAAGTATATCGTGGTTAGCTTAATTGAAAAAAATTCTAACATTTATCGACAAAAGCATTTTAGAGACGATTTAGAACAATCCTACAAATTTCAAAGACCAAAAATAGACATATAATCTAAAACTCATGAACCAAAGTTGTTAAAACAACTATGCAAACATGAAAAGAGTAATATAATAAGAAAAATGTCATTTTCAACCATTTCAGACCTATTTGATAATGTTACTATTTTTTTTATTTCTCAAACATAACTACATGTATGTTTATTATTTCTAATTTTTAAGAAATATTATAAAAAAATTTATATAAATTTTAGAAACAATAAAATATTATTTTATTCCTTATTGAATTCGTAGGTGTTGAAAGTTATGCAACCTTATTTTGATTTATTAAAAACGACTTTAAAAAAGAGCCCTTATATAACAATGCAATCATCTAATGATTACAAATCATACTATACACTTGGTGTGAACATACATATATTCAATATAATAAACAACACCATATCACACTAGAACTTAAATTAACAAACATAATAATAACAATAATAAAATACTCTGTTAAAAAAACATTAATTAAATACAACATTTTTTAGCATTATATATTTTATCCTATATATGTTCATACCTGGCTTGACCACATCTTTTCCTATTCTAGTTTTCAATTCCAATTGATGAGAGAGATCCTTTTGACAATGTTCATTTTAGAGAGGAATATTGTAACTTCCATTCTAATTCCTTTTTATTGAAATAGGAAAAAAAAAACTGAGAAGCAAAGGAGTTTTTCAAGGGTTAAACACACATTTGGTACATTAAAATAACAAACTAATCAAACTTCAAAATTAGTTAAGATTTAGTCATTTTCATTAAATATTAGGTCGTGAGGACCCTTTAATTTGTACACATTGATCTTAATTGGCAGTCGGATCAACTTTTTTTTGTTAATCTGAACTTAATATTAAATTAAATCGTTATTTTAGAAAGTTTAAGTACTAAATTGCAATTTTTTTTAGTTAGGAATAATACACAAAACTCCTAATATGTATCAGCTTGTCTTTTCAGTGAAATATACACAAAACTCCTAGTACATACCAGTAGTTAGCAGGGGAGATTGTTATGATCTTTATTATATCCCAACTTTTTTTTCTTCAAGTTAAATTGGCCTTTTCAAAATTTTTCATGCTCGGTAAGATAATAAGTAATTTTGAAAACACTTGGTATCAGATAAGTTTAACATGCTTCCTTTATCATATAACCTTAGTTATTAATATTTAGTTAAATTCAAATTTATACAGTTTTAGCAAATCATCTCCCGTACAAAAAAATTGGAAATGTTATTTCTTAAAAAAAAAAGTTTTCGCATAACACATTAACATTATTCTTAAATAGCCAAACCTAAGTTTTTGCAGCTGAATGAAAAAGTTTGGTAAGTGGCAAACAGACCTGTGATAGGTAGCAATTGGTTCCGTAACATTCAGAATTTGTGATGGCGAGAGTCACCCGAAACCTGCATGAAAAATCAGTGTTGCGATTAAAAAAAAAGGGTAAATTGTACAAACCACCCCTAAAGTATGGTAATTATTACAATTACACCCTTAAACTTTCAATGGTAAAAATTAGACCCTCAAACTTTGATAAGTGAAAAAATTAGACCATTGAACATTCATTAGTAAAAAATAAACCCTCAAATTTTCATGGGCAATGAAATTAAACCTCTAAATCATTTAATAGTAAAGATGAAACCATAAACTTAAAAAAATTACCTCCTATTTTACTTTATTTCTCCCACAAACCCTTAAAATGAGCATTAGAAGGATAATTAAAACTGTGTCTTGCAAAATATTCAAACTCAGATTCTGTTAACACCAAATTCTCTAAACAAATGCTGAAGAATGGAATATCCATAAAATTAAATTTCACCTCTTTAATTGAGAAGAATGATATATTTGCTCCATTGAAGATTATCTGTGCCTAAATAAAAGCTAATTTTGTTCTGTGTCTTCTTATTCGCAGCAACCCCATGGGAACTGAAGGGCCTCCACCCAAAATTTGTCACACTCATTCTCTTTGTAATTTTTTACTTGTGTAATTGAAAATCGTTGAGGGCCTGTGATCTTGTTTTCTTGGAATTTTATTTCACTTCCGAGTTCTGCAGTATTGAAGAAAAATTGTAGCCATTGAATCAATCTCTGTTGGGACTATTTCTCTTATAAATGATTTTCTTCGTAATGGTTTTCCAAAAAAAAAAGAGAAAACGTCGAATTCCTACACCTGAAAATCAGTTTTCCACAATTTCCATTTCGATCAAAATTAAATGACCAAAATCAGTGAATGTTGGGAGAGTGAGAAAAAGTAGAGATCCAAAGGAAATAAGAGTAAACCATATG